CAAATTAAGAGGAGTATTACAAAATCACAATAGTGAACTGCCGAAAGAAGATCACCGCAAAACTCGCCCATCATTGAAAACGAAAGATATTCCAGATGGAAAGAAATTTGAAATTCGTGATACCATTTATCGAATGAGGGCCAACAAGGAACATGTGACCTTAAATACAATTCTCTCGGAATTAATAGATAGAAAATTTGACGACATTGGCAGAACAAGTCTATGGCAAGTGATACATAACTTGGGTTTCAAATTTCAAAAGGAGGATAACAGAAAGGCCCTTTGTGAAAGAAGTTCTGTTGTGCACAAGAGAATTAACTTTCTAAGAAAATATTCTAAATTTAAAGAAGAAGGGGCGAATTTTATATATTTAGACAAAACATGGATATTTTCTAGGGGTGCAACCAAGAGAATATGGCAAGATGATAACGTAAAGTCCATCAAACATACCGATGGAGAAGGGAAGCGACACATAATTTTGCATGCAGGAGGGAAATCGGGTTTTATTATAGAAGGTGCTGATTTAATATTTTCATCTAAATCAAAATCCAGTGACTATCACGATAATTTGAACACAAAAATGTTTGTAAAATGGTTGCATGAAAAACTCCCAGGTTTAAGTGAGCCCAGCGTAATTATTTTAGACAATGCACCTTACCATTCTGAAGTATTAAACAAAAGTCCAACGAATTCTTAGACTGATGATAAAATTAAAAAATGGTTGACAAATGAACATATACCATTTCCTCAATATATATTAAAATTAGAATTATTACGTTTGGCAAATATACAGGCAAAACCAAAAACCTTTGTTGTGGATTAGATTATTGAAAGTTACGGTCATCAAGTTTTAAGTCTGCCACTGTATCATTGCCAGTTTAATCTCATCGAATATATATGAGGAATAGCAAAACAATATTATGACAACCATATTGGGCCTGATGGTTATAGTGACGACGCAGTTCGGGAAACTTGGCGAAAAGCACTTTCAATTGCAACTCCAGAAGTATGACGGAACTGTATATCCAAGTGCGAGAAACTAATAGAAGATTGGTGGACTCGTGAAAATAAAATAAACGAAATAAGTCCAATCATAATAACAATTAATGGTGATGACAGTGATCATGATGACGATTATGATATTTTGGATGATAATGACTGATTTTCATTTTTGTTGGCAAGTTCAATTTTTATATTTTTCATTTGAAATTCTCTATGGAACAAATTTTTACTTTCCTATCTGTGTACAGATATTGTATACAGATATAAGGAAAGTATGGGAATTATGATTTTTTTTTTCGACCTCTAGTTTTCGACGGATTTTTACGTTTTGAGGTCCCCTGAATCCGTTTTGACTATTTTTGGGATGATGTCTGTGTCAGTCTGTATGTGTGCGTGCGTGTGTGTGTGACGTGATTAACGCTGTTTTTCCAAACGTCAGTCAAAGACGGATCTTTAAAAACGCCATTAATATTTTACAAAACCACATTTGTTAAGGTAGGTGCAAAATTATTACGTCTCAGTTTTTGTTTAACTGAAAACCAAACTAACTCAATTGGAATAAGTATACAATAATAAGGAGGTAACCTCAATACAGTATGGCCACCATCTTTTGCAAAATTATCAATATACTGTATTGGAATATTCTTACTTTTAACAATTTCTAGCAATTGTGGTTTTGTTTTTACGGAAGCAGGAATATCAATGTTATTATTTTTTAAATATTGTATTATAATTGATTTCTTAGAGCCACTATTTGGCTTCTTATGAATTTGCCGGGAATGATATGACGCATTATCCATTGCAATGACTGAATTTGGTGAAATATTCGGTAAAAGTTGTTCAGTAAACCAGTTCTCAAAAACTGCTGCATTTATATCTTCATGATAATCCAGAATAGCTTTATTGATATGTTTTTCTGAAAGTAGCAAAGCGTTTGGTACAAAGCCATTTTCATTTCCGGCATGTAAAATTATGACTCGTTTCCCCCTCCAGCATAGTGCATTTAAAACACAATTTTGTGAACCATGTTGAACGACATCATGAATGTTGGACCATGTTTCATCTAAATAAACTAATTTCTATTGCTATTTCTAAATTTAAAAATTTCCCTTAAATAAATTTGACGTAATTCCACAATTCGACGCGACTCCATAATGCACATTCAGCTATCTAACTTTTTATATCTACCCAGCAAACACACTTACGTACATAAGACGTACTATGTACGTACTGATGGGACGTAAAGTACGTACCATGTACGTACTTTACTGTACGAAGTACGTACATAGTACGTACATAATACGTACATTTTCCAAACGACGGTACGTACCTAGTACGTACTTAAAGTACGTACTCTGTACGTACCTAATGTACGTACTCTGTACGTACATAATGTACGTACTCTGTACGTACCTCATGTACGTACTGTGTACGTACTTAATGTACGTACTATGTTTGTACTTATTCCAATAGAGTATATATTTTAGACGTACTTTACATCCTTATTGGTACTTACTTATGATGTATAATGTACGTATTAGTGCAATAAAAAGAAAAGTAAACAAGTTAATTTGTATTTATTTAATTTTTTACATTAAAAGAATAATTTAAAATGTTTTGCTATCTTTTTAAAAGTTTTTAGGCTCCTCTTAGCCATCTCACAATTTCCTGTTCTACAAACTTCTTCTCTTTGTATTTGTTACTTTTTATAGCACCTTCTGCAAAGAAATAATATCAAATTAGAAACTTAACTTTGGTACTTTTTATAATAAACAATATAATAAAAACAATACAACAAAAAGATGTATAGTAAAGTAAGCGATAGTTTCTACAGCTCAAAATTATCATTGTCAATATACTCCTGGATCCAAACCTGTCTTATTTGTATCCACCTGTTTTGGCCTTATGCCTTTGAAATTCAATTCGTTCCTGCCACTGTTCTATAATATCGGAACTCCTATATTTCTTTTTGTTAAGCTAGATCTCCATCAGTTTTGAAGTCCAATGGTTGGAAGTACACAATTTCATTAGATACAAAAATAATTGTGACTAGATAGATGGGTTTTAATGCAACGACTTTATGAAAACTGGCATGCAAAAATAAAAAATTAAAACATCTTACCCACTTCAACTGCAGCCAATTATAATTTGTTGCCAGCTTATTAGTTATTAAGGCACCAGCAATAGTCCTTTTGACAAAATCCAAAATTAAATTATTAGGGTCTGTAAAATATCACTTCTTTTGTCTAAAATATTATTTCCTTAAACTTTTTTAATTGTTTTGTAGCATTTTTGTAATGTTTACTATGGGATGGGATGACATATCTATAAATTATATTTATTACACATAATTTTTTAAAATTAAAATGAAACCACTCACCAGAATAAAATGACGAAACTACGTACTTATAACACGCACTAAAAAGTCTAAATAATTGTCTTGTTCAATTATAATAAATTATACACAACTATTTATTTAATAAAACACTTAATAGTTAAATCCTAAACATGAAAAACTAACAAAAACGAGCGAGTTTAGTTTAGAGTTTAGGTTAGGTTAAATAAATTGGGTTTCGTCTTTTTTTGCATTTTTTGGCCTACGGTCAACAGAAATTTGGTAAAAACATAGGTTTTTTAATAAAATAGGTATGCAACCAGGATTACGTACCCTTAGGTACGTACTTAGTACGTACTTTTCTGTACGTACTGTTGTGTACGTACTTAAAACGTACATTTTACGTCCTGTACGTACAGTACCAAAACTGTACGTACTTAAGACGTACTGTGCTGTTTGGGTAAAACCACAAGTTATTAAACTTTGTCGAAGTGATTCTAATGATTTATATTTGAAATCTTCAAAATCTTGTAATTTTCTAAAGGTATCTCTAAGGTTGGGACTTGGTTTTCTTTATACGTGTTGTAAACCGTTCGTCGAATCACATCTTTAGATGCATCATCTATCCGACGGCTGACGACACGTTTTCTTTTTTGACTGTGTTCAATAACGCCTCGTTTAATAACGAAATAAATTGTGGAATAGGGAATTTTTGTTAACTTACATATTCTTTTAACTACATCTGTTTGTGAAATATTTGGATTTTCTGATTTAAGACAAACAAACATATTTAAAATGACCTGTTGAACTTGAATAAGTCTTCACCTTGATTGTCATTATTTTGAATTGCATTATTAATACGTATTTCATCATTAATTTGTACTGCATTTAATTGTACTTCATCATTATTCTGAATTTCATTATTAATGTGAATATCACCATTAACCTGCAATTCATTAGCATCTACATTTACCTCAAATGGTCTCCAGAAAGCCATCTCGTACAACACAAATCAAAATTTAACAGAAACACCATAAAATAAAAACAAGAAAAGTTTATAGGTATAACAAACGTTTGAAAAAGGTTTTAGACTGTGCACGCTACTGAATAACGACATAATAATCGAATAGTCCGAAGACCGGTCTTTACCGCGTACCATAAATTATAAAAACTTATTTCGAACACGCCTCCAAGTTTCCGTTTGCGTGTTTTCATTGGTAGACAAAGAAGATGATGGGCTTGTGACACACGTCAATCAAATCCACGTTGTCTAACGGCTCCTGTGTTTTAAAAGGGGAGTATACAATATTTTTCGCAATGTGAGGATATATATTACGTAAATTATAACGCGCCTCCGGTACAAACGCTATGTTGGATTGATTTTGGAAAGAGTATAAACAGTGGAACAGATAAAGAGTGGAAGGAGTAAACAGTGGAGGGGTAAATTATGGAAGGGGTAAACAGTGGAAGAAGTAAATAGTAGAAACAGTAAACAGTGGAAGAGGTAAACAGTGGAAGGGGTACAAATATATAGGGCTAGAAAAAGATAAAAACATTTTTTTTCATTTTCCGATAATCTAATAAGGGAATCGCAAAAATTAAATGAAATTAAGATGATTAAAACTAAATAATAGGTAAAATAAAACTTCAAATTAACAGAGTGATATTATTTATTTTTAACATAACAAAAACAGTGAAATAGAATTGAAAAATTATTAACTAATTTTTGTTGACATCGGCAATAATGTATCTTTGCGCAAAAGTAGGTATAAACATTATTTTTGTAAAAAACAAAATTTTATCGTAGCTAAATCGAATGATCAAATTTTAAGATACAAAAAATTTCAATCTTAACATTTACTTATAATTGTCATTGAAGAGGAAGAAAACAAATCTACAAATTAATTTTTTTAACGGAATGACCCATTTTTTTTATTAGAAATATTTTATCCAAACATCAATTCCGTCAAAAATGGAATACGTAATTTTATTACATTTTTAAAAACTTGGGACATTCTGTAAATACTTAAATATCAACTAAGTTACATCAGGTAGATTTATTTAATAAAATTTGTTCAACTTCTGACAATGAATTTAACTCATTATTTTGAGTCAAATTCGCCATCAGAAACCGATCAAAAGTTCTGAATATATTAATGCTCAATTCTTAAAAATTATCATTATAAACTTTACAATAAACAACAATCAATAAGTTCATATTATGAACAACTACTTTAAAGTCATTTAGACCCTAAACTATACGTGACTATGCGTTATTTATCAAACTTAAAAGTATTGCACATTAGTGTCCTAGAAATAGTTTTTTTTTTTGAGCGTTAGGCAATTTTTTATTCTAAACATTTTCAATTTTGCTGCAATTTGCCCCAAGACTATCAATTCCTGGCTGTATAACAATATTTTTTTACAAAAAGTTCGTGTGGTTCCAAACTATTGGTTACTCGAGTTCTCTTTAGCCTCGTAGGCGCCCTTGACAGCTTCAAGAGTTTCCATGACAATGTCGAAAATTCGCATACCAATTTTGAGTGTTTCCATGGCAAGCTTCGAGAGTTCTATAACTATATACCGCAAGAGTTTCCACATTTAACTTTTTAAGCTGGTAACTCATGTTCCGGGATATAATAAAAATTATAACAACTTACCGAGTGTTTCAATCAAATGCACTGTTTTTTGATATTGTTCCTATATTAAACTCATGAGTTTCTAGAATGACATCGTTAGTTTTGTAGCAACCTCGTGAGTTTCTATACCAACCACGTACATTTTTATAGGGTTCTACTTAGTTTCCATGAAACTTCGTGAGTTCCCATAGCGATCTCGTGAGTTTTCATTGCCACTTTTTAAGTTTCCATAGTTTTACAGGCACTCAGTGTATAAATCAAATGCTATGGATTTTTAAATGATTATTTGTTAGTTTCCTTAATAAATTCATGAGCTTCTAGAGAGACATCGATAGTTTTATAGCAATCCCGTGAGTTTTATAGCAACCTAGTTAGTTTCTATAACAATCACGTAAAGTTTTAGAGGGTCCTAGTTGGCTTACATGAAGCTTCGTAAGTTTTCACAGCAATCTCGTGAGTTTCCACAGCAACTTCTCGAGTTTTCATAGTAAAAATTTTTACAGACGTCCTGAGTGTATAAATCAAATGTTATGTATTTTTAAATGATTACTTATTAATTTCTGACAGTTTTATAGTGAACTTGTGAGTTTTGTAGTGATCTTGTGAGTTTTTAGCAACCCCGTGAGTTTCTATGAAATACACGTAAATTTTTATAGGATCCTAGTTACCTTCCCTGTAATTTAGTGAGTATCCATAGAAACATCATGAGAGTCCATAATAACTTCTTGAGTTTCTATAGTTAATCTGTTAGGACGTTATGAGTGTATAAATCAAATGCTCTGGATTTTTATATTAATACTTAAGTAATAGTGTTCGTATTAAACTCATGAGTTTCAATAGATAACTCAATAATTTTATAGTTTTCTTTTGAGTTTTATAGCAACCTCATGAGTTTCCATAACAAACACGTACATTTTTTTAGAACCCTAGTTACCTTCCACTAAATTTCGCAAATTTCTATAGCTACCTCGTGAGTTTCCATAGCAACGTCGTAAATTTAAATAGTAACTTCTCGAGTTTCCATAGTAAACGTTTTTAAAACGTTTTTACAGACTTCTTGAGTGTATAAAATAATTACTATGTATTTTTAAATGATTACTTATTAGTTTCCGCATCAAAGTCATGAATTTCTAGAGAGACTTCGACCTGTGAACTTGTGAGTTTTATAGCACTCTTGTGAGTTTTATAGCAATCTCATGAGTTTCTATAAAAACTATAGAAAGCACGTACATTTTTATAGGATCCTAGTTAAAACTTCTTGTTTCCATAGCAACTTCTAGAGTTTCTATGATAAACATTTTTTTACTGACGTCCTGAGTGTGTAAATTAAATGATATTAATTTTTAAATGATTAGTCATTAGTTTCTGTATCAGATTCATGAATTTCTAGAGATACTTTGACTGTTTTATAGTGATCTTGTAAGTTTTATAGCAACCTTGTGAGTTTTTAAAACTAGCGTGTAAATATTTATAGAACTCTAGTTACCATTCATGTAACTTCATAAGATTCCCTAGTAATATCATCAGAATCCGTAGCAACTTCTTGAGTTTCCATAGTTAACGTTTTTAGACGTCCTGAGTGTAAATTATTACTTAATAATTTTCGTGTTAAACTGATGTGATTCTATAGACTTCATTAGTCTTATAGTGATCATAGTTTTATAGGAATCTTGTAAGTTTATATAACACTTAAATTTTTATAGGACCCTAGTTATTTTCCTTATAACTTCGTGAGTTTCCATAGTAATATCAAGAATACATAACAACTTCTTGAGTTTCCACAGTTAACCTTTTTAGACGTCCTGAGTGTGCAAATTAAATTCTCTTAATTTTTAAATTATTACTTAATACTTTCTGTATTAAACTCATGATTTTCTATAGATTTAAATAGTTCTATAGTGATCATGTGAGTTTTATAGTGATCATGTGAGCTTTTTAGCAACCTCGTAAGCTTCTATAACAAGCACGTACATTTTTATAGGATCCTAGTTACTTTACATTTAACTTCATGAGTTTCCATAGCAACTTCTTGAGTGTGTAAATAAAATGCCCCGGATTTTTAAATTATTACTTAAGTAATAGTTATCATATTAAACTCATGAGTTTGTAGAGAGACTTCGATAGTTTTATAGAGATCTTGTAAGTTTTATAGCACCTCAAGAGTTTCTATAATATCCACGTACATTTTTATATGATCCTAGTTAGCTTCCATGCAACTTCATAAGTTTCCATAGCAATCTCGTGAGTTTCTATAACAGCCATGTAAATTTTCATAGGATCCTAGTTAGTTTCCATGTAGCTTCGTGAGTTTCCATAAGGACCTCGTTAATTAACAACCTCCGTGGTTGTTTAGATTGGACAGTTTCAAAAACACGTACTTTTCAGAAATTCAGTTACCCTGGATATATTTATTGAATATGAAGTTTAACTATACGAACAGTTGACATTTTATGTCGTATGTTTTCATAAAATATTTGATGATGTCCAAATTTACTTGTTATTACTCGAGAATTTACATAGTAACCTCGAGAGTTCCATATTAACCTCGAGAGTTACATCAACCTCAAAAATTACCATATCAACCTTGAGAGGGTCTATATCGACCTCGAGTTACTATATAAACATCAGCATTGGTTGTCTTAATAGTTTCCATATTAACTGTGTGTTTCCAGAGCTATCCCGTCAGATGTATGGCAATCTTGTGAGTTTTATAGCATCCTCGTGAGTTTCTATAATAACCACTTACATTTTCATAAGATTATAGTTAGCTTCTATAGAACCGTGAATTTTCGTAGCAATTTCGTGAGTTTACTCTCTACATGGTTGTTAAATTGAGCCATTTCCAGAGCAATCCAGAAATCCTGACACCCTAAAGTATGCCGAATAACAGTTAAAAATCTTATGTCGTATATTTCCATAAACAATTTCGTTGTATTCAAATTTACTCATTATGACTCAGAGTCTACATGGCAACCTCGAGAGTTTTCATATCAACCTACTTGGAGAGTTACCATATCAATCTCAGCATTGTTTATGTTAAATTCGTGAGTTTCCATGGCAACCGAATATTACTTAATAGTTTCCATATTAACCTAATGAGTTTCTACATCGATCTGGTTAGTTTTATAGCAACCTTGTGAGATTTTATAACAATTACGTAAATTTTCATTGGATGATAATTAACTTCGTGAGTTTCCAGTCTACGTGGTTGTTTTTAACTAGGTGGTGTAAAAAGCAAGGCAATAGTTTAAGAGCTTTTTCTTCTTGGCAATCCTGATCACCTATATCAACCTCGAGAGTCTGCATGACAATCTTTTGAGAGTAACCATGTCAACCTCGAGAGTTGCCACATGAACCTCAAAATTGTATTAAATTTGTTATGACTTACGACTGCATAGCAACCTCGTGAGTTTCTATAACAACCTCGAGAGTCAGCATGACAATTTTAAGAGTTATCATGTTAACCTCGAAAGTTTCCATGTCAACCACGAGAGTTACCATATTAACCTCGTGACTCACGAGGTTGATATGGTAACTCACGACTCGTGAGTTACCATATCAACCTCAACAGGTACCATATCAACCTCGAGAAGTACCATGTCAACCTTTCAGCATTGTATGCGTTATATTCGTGAGTTTCCATGACAACCGAAAGAGACTTTAAATACAATTTGAAATTAATAGTCCAGGGGCTAAAAGTAAAATTTCCTAAGTATAAAAATGTAGTATTTACTTGTTTTAAACGCTCGTCAACATCACTTTAGCTATGTAAGTAAAAAAAAGAGTGTTATAGTACAGGCCGAAATTCTTAAAATTATTTTAACGATGCAAGGCCCTCTTCGGTATATGCAAGCATTAATTCGTTGCTGTTTTCTTCATATACTAAAATAAGTTATCAACTAAATCACAAAAAATTGTATAAAAAATTAAGCAGCATTTCAGGCGAGGCTCAATTTTTATAAAATGTACAATAATTAACATATTATAAAATTATTGTTTTGGAAGACATAGTAATTTTTGCTGTTTCTTTATACTTAATGTCGAGTTTACTATAAAATTAATTTAGGAATAAAATTTTAGCTAAAATTATATTAAAAAATATTTGTCCTAAATGTCAAATCGATTTTTTTAAATGAACTATTTTGAGCAATTTTTAAAAATATCTAAAGAGTTTGGGCGTTCATTATTTATATATTTTGGTGAATTCCGAAACTCCTAGAATATTTTTAACAACCAAAGAGCTACAGAATATTTAAAAAACAAATATTTTAAATTATTTTTAAATTTAATTTTATCCTATAAGTGCCGCTCTGTGCTAAAAAAGTAAAAAAAAATCAAAATCGCTTATTCAACAAATATATAAATAATAGCTAACAGATATACATATTTGTATAGATATATTAATTTATAATATATATTAATTCACCTAGGTACGATATCATTATAACTATATCTTAAGAGATAAAAATATAAAAAAATTTGATATGTGCAACAAATGGTCACTACAGTTCCAGTGCTTTCAAATGCCAGTTTTTAAACTTTAATTCACAATTCAACTCACTAAAACCAAAAGGTTAAACCAATGTTAAATAAATTTTAAGATGAAATGATAATTGATCAATGGTTGATGAGCTGAATTTTAAAATTTTAACGTTTCATCAAGCATTGATAGCATTAGGTAAAAGAAAATGGATTCAAAACATTTATTTCGCTTTTTGTGAATTTTCTTTGAAATAGCTTAACTCCAAACAATATAATGGATCAAACTATCAGCAGAAAAGGTCCAGTATCTCTTCCAGATGGTATACAGAAGATTCCATCCACCTTACATTGCTAAACATATCATTAGAGGTCCTGCCATTATTACCCAGACTTAACAGCTTAGAATTTTTATCTTTTTGGATAAATGAAGAAGTCTAAAAGTCCTATCTGAAAGCAATGTAGGGTCTAGGATGCATGTCCCAATCAGAAGAGCAGTAACAAAGGATATAATCTAGGACAATGAATAAAGCATCATGAAAATGTCACTGAAGAAGAATATGTCACTGTAGAAGGATATGTCACTAAAGAAGGATTGCCAACTGCTCTAAATAGATCATCTCAAAGGTAAGACATAACACATTTATTTATATATGATTTTCAGTCATTCTCTTACCATAAAACTATCAGTTGGAATTAAAAATGAATACAAACATGGTAATTTTGTGGTTACAAAAATTCCTGCTATCAATGCTTAACGAATACATAAGAATGTTAAAGCCTGGCACTAAATATAAGGCGGAGAGGCAAGTTTTTAACTAAAATTAGGTAAAATTTTTCAAAAACGTTGACTGAATTAGCTTTCCGATAAATAATATCCCCAAAAATAATTTAATTTAGTATTGACTGTAGTTTATTTTTGAGAACATCTAAATATCACTATATTTGTTAATTTAACCCCAAAAAATTAGTAGATTAAGATGTTTAAATTGAATTGAAATTTGTACATTTTTTTCTATATTTATCACAAATTGTTCGTTCTTATTTTGCTCACACTGTAAATATACGTGTCAATAAATCTAAAAGTTGATTATTTTAAAAAATCGTAATATACTACCTGACCTGCAGGAGAATTCTATTATCATACAGGTTGTCTCAGAAAAAGGTTTTCTACTAAAATATTTCGGGGAAAATATATTGTTTTTGTTTTTTGATAAATTAGCTATTAAATTATAATCTCAACGTATTGATTATGAGAAAGATTCGTCCTGTTTTCCTTATCAGGATCGTGTCTATGCATTTCGGCTAAGAGGCGTGGATCCACTGGAAGCGGCGCCAGCTGAGGCATGGGTGCGCAATCGGGAGGAATCTGAAGAACAAAAATAATATTAATAATAATTAATTAGGTGGAAGTTCTAAGTTTTCAAGATTGTAAAAGTAAACTTAATGAGTCAAAATCAAGACCTTTGTTTAAAAGTGTTTAGGAAATCAAAGCAGTTTTCGTTTAAACATCTAGTGCTTTCTGACAGTAAATTTTTTACCAAACAAACCATCTTGTCATTGAATTTGACATATAAGTTTTTGGGTTTGGGCTAAAATTTGAATTGCGTAATTTATTTACTAGAAAAAAGTACAATAAAACTCTTGATAAAACTCAATTACTCTAATGGTTTTGGCGAAATCTTTTAATAATTTGAAGTGTAGGTTTCACAAAAAAAGTTAATTTATCAAATCATGAATGCAAATAAAGATTTCATAAACACTCCCAGGCAGCACACATTGGTATAGTTAACGTATTTTATATTGTACGTATTTCTCGTTTATATTTGGTATTGGTTGATTCTGTATACGTTTACATTTTAAGATTATTATACATACCGTTTTTTAAATGATATTTTATGCGTCCTATGGTATATAATTGTAAATTATTCTACGTTTAAATATAGCTAAAATACGACTATTTTTAATTTGCGATCAACGTTTTGTAGACAGTGTGCCTAAATATACGTTTAGATTTATTTAAATTAAATTCGTATACATTTATGTAATATTATAATATATATTTTTCGTTAATAACTCCCGTTTAAATTTCGTCTTGTTTGATTTTTTAAACGTTTAACTTCTATTTTTATACTTAAACGTTTATAGATACTAGTTATTGTATATTATACGTTTAAATATAATTTACCTTACACCCATATTTCCTGTTAGCGATAATCTAGTAGATAAAAGTAAATAATATGCATACATTTAGGTTTATTTATATTAAAAACTTATTAGTATATTTGATAAGATGGATGAAATATGGCATACTTGGGCTACTATCTCTTCTCATTTCTAGTTTTGCATTAGCGCGTATTAGGTAGTGTAGTGTGCTGTGACATTGTGTAGGTCGTTCTATCATACTTATTTGTGTACACGTTTAAAGGCATAAGTGAGTTTATACTAATGTTTTATTTTAGTTATTCCTTCAATAATTTCTGCATTTTACAACAACTGCTGTTTTATAGGTAGGTACAGTGTGTAAGATGCTTACAGAAATTCTTAAACCTAACTTGAGCTATTAGAGATGATGACATTTATACATTCAAACAAGTTGCATAAATGTTACAAATAGTGTGTCTGTCATTTCCTATCTTGCGTGAATTATTTAATATATATTTTAATTACCTATCTGTGTTTATTGGGGAGAAGTTTATTGGGCAGAAGTTCAACCAAGGCTATCAGAAATTCTGGTTGCAGCGCAACATTGAAACATAGTACCCTATATTGTGAAACATTGCTGAAAAATACCTTATCGCTTTTCCATCATCATACCTAGTCGAAAAAGACTTCAGTGTGGTTACAAACATTTTGACAAAACAAAGAAATCATTTGAAAATCGACGAACGCGGAGATTTAAGGCTGCAACTCACCAATATTCAACCAGATTTAGCTAGATTGGTAGAAAGTTACCAGGTTCATTCTTAGCACTGGAAAGGGAGTCTGTTGCCCAAAATAGTTTTGGGAAATCCTGATGTAAGGGATATTTAGAAAACTTGTTTGGTTGACGAGAATAATAATGTCCAAGCAATGGTGATCTAAAAATTCCCCCAATACAGACGATTAAGGCCATGAAAACTACTTAGAAACTGGAGAGGTAGTTATTGCCGGCATTGAAGATGAAAAGGATAATTTACCTGTAGCTTTTTGATTACTTTCCTATTCACTTACTCATTCAAAAATTGTTAAAGTACATGTTTGAAGAAATTTTATGCTAATATTAGAGCTTTGAAGCAATTTACCATAGTTTTTCTTTTTTTATGACTCAAAGAATTAAGTTTAACAGTGTTAAACAGTAAAAAACTTTATCAGGCCCTTACAATACACCAATTCAGAATATACCGATATGTTATGTTTTATATTTTGATATTGTGATGGAAATTGTGTCGAAATGTAATCTGGAGTGTTTCCAAATCGTCGTATACCAAGAACCAAGCCACCCAATATTTGCTGCTACCGAGAGACGTTTTTAAGGTTTCCTGAAGTTAAAGCAGACAATTTAGAACGTGATGAAGACGAATAGATCAGGAACTAGGTAAAAGTACACAAAGGTGTCGTCCATAAAATACGTAAAGAACAATAATTGCTTCATACACGATAAGAACCTAGTACAAAATCTTTTAATCCATGATCATGAAATCTGTCTTGGTTTCTGTTGGTTTTTTAATATCCAAAAAGAAAGAGACCTGAACTTTGGCAAAAATATTACCAATGAAGAGTGTTTCACAAGAAGGGAGATAGCTAATACAATTAATGAACACGTTCATTCAATAAAGATAAGCCATTTTCAATACGAATTATAAATCAATGTGTGTGGGCTGGAATAATTGGTAATTTTATTGTTGATTCTTCTATCAAGATTAAAGTTGCCAGATAATTTAGAAGATTCACCTTCTCTAATTACAGGTATACGCACGATGTGCACATGTTCGTCTGATTCTGCATCAAAGTTTGTCGAAAGTTTGTTGATTCTCAAAGCGACACAACCCTTACGATTCAGCAGATCTTAGAAGACGATGCTATGATGGGAGTAGTCCAACCAATTCAAAACTGGCCGGACATTGGTGGGGAGTGATCAGCATTCTGGGAGGTCACAAACTACTCGAAATGCAGCTTTTGTTAAGAGGGTAGAAAATCTAATAATGGGAGAGTACTATCAAGAAGTTCTCCTCCGACTAGGTGATGTAGTTCGGAGCCAAAGACCAAATCTCTGGACAGCGAAAAACTGGCAGTTGCATCACGACAATTCTCCATCTCATTCATCGTACCTGGTACATACTTTATTGGCAAAACATGGAATTCCAGTCATTCGCTAACCTCCCTACCATCCAGATATGGCTCCTTGTTACTTCTGGTTGTTTCGGAAATTAAAGACGCCATTAAAAGGATCCCGTTTTGAAATTAGAGAAGAGATAATGCCGAACGCGAATACTATTCCAAAAGAAGCGTTTTCGGCAGTGAAAATAACGGTGTGCTAAGTATGTGAAGACGCAAGGGACATAGTTTGAAGTGAGAAGTCCTAATTCCGTCATGTAAATAATATATTTTTGGCAGCCAAAGGTCGGATAGTTTTTAGACAGACCTCGTATTATGGAACAATGTGGAGAGTGTGGAATCTGCGAAATGAAATTAAAAACAAACGTCAATCTTCAAAGTACGAACTAAATGCCAAAGAGGAAGGAACTAAACCCTAAACCCTACGTCTGTTAGAAATAATGATACGCTCCAGCTACGTGCTTTGATGACATCACACACTCCATTCTCCATTCTCTAAAGAGATTTAAATCGAATGCAGTCAAATAATACGTTGCAATTTTCTTCATCTTATAAATCCTTGTATGCATGAAATGGTTTTATGAAATCTTTGTTATTTTTATTCTTTTTTTTTTGTGAAAACTACACTCCAAATAATTATTAAAAAATACAAATTTTTGTAGTAAATGAGTTAAACAATTCAAATTTCTTACTCAGACCCCTTCTCTACTATTGGCGTAGAAATTAAAAATTATTAATTAAAAAAATTAATTTCTACGCTTATGGATAAATATTAATCATTGATATAGGGAAAGTAAAAGTTGGAAAGGCTTTTGGTAGGTAAAGAGGGGGTAAACGTCAAACCACGTCGGACGGCTTCGAGAATTTCGCAGTAATGGTTACCTGCCAGTGTCGTTTCATAGAATAAGTAATTTTAAATTGTTATCAGCGGAACCGGACAATCGCATGTATTTATGGACTATAAATAATTATTAAACATGTATTATAATATTCAATCATAATTTTACAAAATTTCAACAGCTATTCCCAATTTATTAAATTATTTACTTGAAATTGTTATTAACATCTATAAAATAATTTTGTACGCCAATGTATCGCGTCCACTTCGGCGAGATCCGCAGCAAACCTGTCAATTTATGTGTATAAAGTGGGAGAACTGGCAAAAGCCTTTCCAACTTTTACTTCTGTTCTACATAGAGCTTTATTATTCTTATACGAGGTACGTACCATTTGTTGTTGCGGCTGCTGCTGGGGTAACTGACCCGGTGGCGGTATCGTGGGGTAGTAATTCGTCGGCGACACAGGTGGGCTGGGGTACGGCCAGTAGAAGATCTGCGGAGGCATGAACTGTCTAGGATCGAGCGCGGCCGCTGCCAACTGCACGGGGGGGTATCCTGGGAAATTCGGCCCTGGATGGAAGGGCGTCGGTAAAATATTGCCGCCTAAAATATATGTCGGTGCTGCATAAGAACTAATGCCCGAAGAAAAATTGTTTTTTTTATTCTAAAAATATTTGTTGCGATGGTAAGCTATATGTGTAGTCATAGAATTCAATCAATTTTTGTTTTGATGGTAGTATCAATAGAAATGTTTCATAGGAGCCCTAACAACTATTTATTGACCCAAATAACTATCTTTTGGTAAAATGATAACCTTTTTTTTTTATTTAAACTGTAAAGAAGGATGAGTAATAATTTCAGCGAGATAAAAAATATTTTTCGAAATGTTTATTTTCTTAAGAATCTAATTTTTAACACCCTAATCCATAAATCCATGGAGGAACTGCAGCCTGTAATTGTACCAACATTTTAAAGTCCTATCGATTGACATTTGCAGTTTTAGCACAAAAAAATATTTTGGAGTTAGAAAAAGGCAAAAATAAGAATTTTTGGAAACTTTGACGCCCTCTAATTTCTCCATTTATCATCGTAGCGTAATGACGCCTGAATATAAATTATAGAAATTATTTTTATCTTCAACTTTTGTATAAAACATTTTCTAATACAACTCACAGTTTTAGAAAAAAAAAACGATTTTAAAAAATACATAACGCAAAATGTCAAGATTTTGAAAATTTGGTTTTAAGAATCTTTTACGATAACTCAAGGACTATTTTTATTGTACTAAAAAATTTTTAGACAAAAATTGATCATAACATCATGACCTAACATATGCTTAAAAAATTAATGCTTACCTTGTATTACATGTAACAATTAAACCCAATTACCCCCTCTTTCCTCTAAATAAAGTGAATTTTTTTAATCCGTTAAACAAAAATAAATCGGGTTATAAAAGGCGCCCCAGAAATAGGTGCAAAATATTTTAACATCACAAATCAACACTAAAAAAAGATCAAAATTTTTGACTTTTTTAAAACAAATTTTTAAAATCTAGTAACAATAAATGTAAATTTTCGGGAATCAATTTTCTAAAATAGTTGTAGAAAAGTAATTTGTTATTAAAAATAAAATTTTAAAAAATGATCAAAAATTTAGAATTAAAAATTTTTTAATTTTCCCTAAACAATTTACAATATTTTAAAATCAAGTTATATTACGTGATGAAAATAAAATTTCAAAACATTAAAAATTAAAGTAAAAAAGAGGAACAAAATTTTAGAATTAAAAATATTTAACTTTTCTAATAAAATCAATAATTCTTCAAAATCGAGTTAAAATAAGTAAATTGTTAAAAATTTAGTATCAAGCTTTGAAAATGTAAATTTTAAAAAATAGTTGAGGAAAAGTATAACACAATGATCCAAAATTTAGAATCAATTTTTTTTAAATTTCCTGAAAAAATCAACATTTTTTTTTTTAATAAAGCTACAATAAATTATTAAAATGTAATTTTCAAAAAATGTATTTTCTAATGTAGTGGAAAAGGAACAAAATTTTAGAATTCAACATTTTTAACTTTTCTAATATAATTATTCAAAATCGAGTGACAATAAGTGATGAAAGTGTAAATTTTCGAAAGTTTGGTGGTAAACCTTTGGACTTATGTTCCAGTGGCGGGTGATAAAAACAAAAAAATATTTTTAAAAAGGTTAAAAATTAAAAATGCTTAGTAATTTTAGTTTTATTTTTGTATTATTTATATGTGGGTGAATTTCAATTTTCAAACAAAAATTAAAAAATGAATTTGAAAATGTTAAAACATACTTTTACTGTTTAAATGTTTGGGAGTGTGGATGGTTCATCTAGGAGTAGTGTATTTGAAGATATAGCCTGGTCAAATTAAGTTAGTTAAAATATTTTTACATATATTTCGGGAACACCCATTTTTTCGAAAACTACTGTATAAGAACACTTTGCACCAGCACCCATTTTATTATACAGGTAGTCTCAAAAAGATTTTAAAATTTTCCCAAGTAACTAAAAAAAATTGTTTAATTTAGGGCCATATTCACCGTTATAAGATTCGCTCCAGTTATAAGCGTTTTAATATATTTTATATGCACCGAAGTCATCATAGCTTGAAGTAAAGCTCTAATTTTGGAAGCTTAAAATTATACAGCCGAGCTTTTGTCAAAAACATAACCTTATTTTCTATTTTAGTGAAGAGTAACGCAAATTTTAATAACATTACTTTTATTTGTTTTAGATTTTTTATATATTTTATATTGATATCTTACATATCATAATTTAGTTTTTTCATGTAACTTTATGAGGCTAAATTATATTGAAGATATGAATGAATCTAATTTTATTCAACGATTTAGATTAAATATTATGAAAGCATGTTTATTTGCAATAAAGTGCACCAAACGAGTTTTTTGTATCTAGAAATTATTGTGAAAATACCTACATAATCATGAAAAATGACAACATGTAACAACAATCTGAGGTGTTGCCAAACTTCTTACTGATTTAATAAAGCTTCACTTAATATTCTGCTTCACCATTTAAATGAAGCTTTATATTAGAGCGTAGCTTGATTAACCTGTGCTTAAGCGAATATGGCCCTTATTGAAACTACGTACAGAATCACGTGGTCACAATTTTATTGTACAGATTGTCCCAAAATCTATTTTTTCAACGAAATTATAAATATTTCAAATTCACGTGTTTATGGTTTTTAATTAAATAAAATGAATCCAATCATATTATTTCTACGTAAAACTACTAATATTAGAAAATGAAAATATGAAAAACCTTCTACCCACCTCCATATATATAGAAGCAACGATGTCCCACACTTAACTGCCATCTTCTCCAGGATCACCAAGTATATGTATGTTTATACGGGGCGTTCCGAAAAGTCGAAATGTTAAAATTTCCCGTCCGAAAGAAAAAAGTCCAGGAATAGTAATATTTGGAGTGTGGAAAGCGTGATCAAAAATATTAACACAACGGTGTCAAAAATTTTAATAGTTACTGGTAGTGCCATATGAGAAAAATATTGCATTTTTGCGATCCAATTTAATATACTCTCATTAGTGCGTAATTGTTTTATATTTCAAGTGTTATAAACAAGCAAACTAGTTTCAAATAAGTTATATGGATATAAGTGTTTTTGAAAAACATGTGAAATTCTCTTATTTAAATGTTAGTAATATTCCCCTTTTTAGCAGCTGTCAACATATTGTCATTAACTTTAACAAATAAATATATCAACCCATATAATACTTTTCCCGGAAAAAATTCCGTAGAACGAAAAATTTCCAAAAATTTCAATTTTCCGAATCGCCCCCGTACATGAGAGATGTGTTATGTAATATAGCGAGAGGAGAGACAACAAACCCAAAAAGCATTATTGTGACAAAACATTTATTAATGTGTATATTAAGACAATTTGTTTAAACGATAAAGAGTAGCTGCATAAACGTTACAGAAAAATCAATGTGTTCACAGAAATTAATAATTTGCCAAATTTTTTCTGTAACCGGGTCAGGCAAAATACCAGAAATAACAAAAAAGTTTTTGAAAATGAGATTAATAAAAATGAAGAATTAAAAAAAAATTGGAAGAAAGTTTATGCAATACGATGGTAATTCTATACTGAATTCCATGATTTATATAAAATACTAGATCCCATTATTTTTAATGAATACGCAATCATTTATAGTGGCATCCCTCTACATTTTATTGAGAACCTCATTATTTATAGTGAACATTCAATATTTATAGTAAAAATCCCATTATATATAAAAAAAACCATTATTTTTAGTAGGCACCCCATTATTTATAGTGAAAAACTCATTAATTATAGTAAACATGTCATTATTTATAGTGAACATCAATATATAGTGAATAAACCATTGTTTTTAGTAATTTATAGTGAACATCCCATTATTTATATTACAATCAATCATTTATAGTGAAATAATGGTTATTTTTAGTAAAAACCCATTATTTAGAGAGAACATCTCATTATTTCAAAGTACACACCCATTACTGATAGTAAACCTCCTAATAATGAAGTGAACACCCACTATGTATAGTAAAAAACTATTATTTATAGCGAATTCTCCATATTTAAAATCAAAATTAATGCCAATTCATAACTTTTTATTTTTGATATTATTTCATATTTATATTAAACGGATCATACAAAAGTAATCACAAAGATTGAAATAGCCCGTGAAGTGAATAAACATGGCCTGCTGGAAGACCAGATTCAGATATATGTGGAAAATAGAATTTACTGTTTAGAGCAATAGATTTAAAGATTCAATAAAAATCTAAAGTAAAACATAAATTGTATTTGTTTCTCAAACATTTAAAAAATTATTCTGTCTGTCTGTCAGTCAAACATAGTAATAATAATATAAGAAAAAGTTATGAGTCATTAAACTTGGATGTTGCATCTTTTTTGTATGTCTTTCTACATCTGTTAATTTATAGTAAACATACCTTCATTTATAGTGAACTTCCCTTCATTTATAATGAGCATCCCTTCATTTATAATGGGCATCCCTTCATGTATAGTAAACTCCCCTTCAAAATTAGTGAACACAAAATTTAAATAAAAATCCCATTACCCTTCATTTATAGTGAAAATACCTTTATTGGTAGTGAACACTCCTTTTTTTAGCTACTTCCACTTATTTATAATGAACTCCTTAATTTTTAATGAGCTCTCGTTCATTTATAGTGAACTCTCGTTCATTTATAGTGAACTCTCGTTCATTTATAGTGAACCCAAAATTAATTACAGTGAAAATCCCTGTTATTTATAATGAACACCCCACTATTTATAATGAACACCCCGTTATTTATAATGAACACCCCATTATTAATAATGAACACCCCAATATTTATAGAGAACAACCAATATTTTAATGGAAACTCTCCATTGCTTATACGGAACACCCTGAAATTTATTATATCATAGAAAATTCAAAAAAATTACCATCGTTATGTACTTCTTACTATTTTCGAAAAGAACACAAAGCTGTTGAAAGAAAAGCAAAAATTCCATCTGGTGCTGTGCCTACCCATACCACGAAAAAAATGAAAATAGATAGAACCTTCGCTAGACAGTAAATAAGGCTTGGTGAAAATAATTTTTTGACATTCCGAAACATAACATGACAGGTCCACCACATTGTTTTTGTTAGTACCTACTTAAAGGGAGGAAGGGGGAGAAAGTTACCTTCCTGGTTGGTTAGTACACACCCATACAAGACATTCTATCTAGACCATAGTTTTATTACATTGTTTTGATTGTATTGTAATGGTTGAGATTTATTTCCCAAACTTAATGAAAATTTAATGTTAAATATTTGTTTTTCCCGGACTATATAAATTGAAAGTTAAAATATTTGCCGGGCTATAAGTTTCTGATATTAAAATATACTTACGAAAGTCAAAATTAGAAGGCTTTTTAATTAGAAATACTTGAAATTATGCAGAAGCAATATAAAATGAAATTGTAAATAAAAAAGTTTAGTGATATAGAAACCAAAAATTTTATCTATTCAAAATTTAAATTTTATATTTTTACACATTTTTACTAATATTAAGCGGTCTCAAGATGTTTTTGTTGGTATAATTTTTTTTATTTAATTTTTTATTCTTCAGTGTCGATGAAAATTAGTCTCTGGTAAGAATGTTGAAATATATTTGAAATCTATTTTTCTCATTCGACTTTTTTGAACAAATGTTTTTGATTAATATGCAATGTCGTAAATTCAAAATAAAATTATTCTATACGTACAATCTCAAAATATTTTTTTTATAAATTATTATCAATATTAGAAAAAAAATTAAGTATAATTACTTCAAAATATTTAAAATTTTATTTTGGTTTTAAATTTAGAGTTTTTAAATTCTAATGATGACGAAATTACTAATAAAAAAATAACAATTTTATTTCGATTTCGAATATTCGATACCCACCTGCATTTTTTTTAAATTTCTTGAAGACTATTTTAAACACTGAACTTATGTCTCTATGAAAAATTATTCCAACTCAAAGCACAGTGTTAAAAATAAAGCACAGGCTAATTGTTTAAGGGAGACAAAAACACGTTTCAAAATATTTTAAATGTTGTTATTGACATTCACAGGCCTTAAACAATCGCACTGTACTTACCACATTCTTTTCTACCTGAAACTGGATAAATTAAAAAGATCACCTGTAAACAGAACGAAATTCTTTGAAATTCAATAATCTATAAATAGAAAATCAAATTATTTCAAAAAGAAGCTTGTTTAACAAAGAATGTCGTTCTGTTAACCAAAATGCGTGGTCAAAAATCTTGTACCATTCACCAACACCATTCCTGAGTTAAAAAAATAATGAATGTGAAAAGCAGGACACCAAATCAAATTCAAGTATCTAGCGAAAGCTCATACGGAAAAAGAGGCTTAAACTTTGACCTACTCGACCGGCACAGTACGATTTTCGAAAATTATTTAAAAAAAACAAATTTTTCGAAAATCGTACTGTACCGGCAACAAAATATTCTATTAAACTAAGAACTAAATCCCAATATATAATAAAAATAAATGAATTAATTATACACCATGATTTTGTACAATGTTTCTTAGTCTACTTTCAAAAAATTCTAACAAGAGGACGCTGAATTAAGCACTAGTTTACCGAGATCTTACACTTTTTAAAATACCCTGTATATAATGTTGGTATTTCAACTAAACTGACAACTTTTACTAGTACGGTACTGTGCTTAATTTAGAGCCCTCAAAAATAACCCTTCGCCATCTATTGACAACAGTGACAAAGACACAACAAAAGACAACTTTTATATATCACTAACTGAAGTTAATTAAATAGACTTAAATCCGGTCGGCGTGCCGACCTGCTCGGATAACACGAATATGTGTTATCAAAGATAATTTTAATATTGTTTAATTAAAACGTTATATGATACAAACTAAAACTTAAAAATTATAAATTAAATAATAATAAAAAATAGTTGCCTTTAGTTTCAACATTTTTCCTAAAACCATATAAGTTGTAAACAACAAATACCCATATCCAGAGGTCTATTGAATTAGTTCGCAGACGTATTTTGTTATAACAAAAGCCTTAAACATGGAATAGAGGACCAAGTGAATTAGAAAAAATATAATTTTATTTTTTTTACTATTAATAAAAAAAATAGTAAACAAAAGTCCCCTTTTATTTAATCGAAAATATATAATTATTAATTCATAGTAATATAATTCCAATAATTATGATGAGTAAACCATTTAAAAAATTATAATGAACATTATTTAACGAAAATTATTGATTGATAAAAACTTGTAATGAAAAATTATGTAATACCATACCAACAATGATCTGTTTTAGAACCATTATTTCCATTTTCCGATATATGTAGCTAAATATCAAGAGAAAATTTAGAATATTTGTTTCATAAATTCGTTTCCGAACCTATTTATATCAAAATCGTGTGAAAAGGGGATTAAATGTAAGAAATAAATGGTAAAACTTTAAATCAATTATACAAATCATCTAAGAAAAGATAAATAAGTTAACTCTTGCATAAGAACAAAATCTGTTCATAGGAAGATTTGAGGATATGTATAAAGACCGTAATTGTTAAAAACAATTGCTTTTAGTTGTATTTTTTACTCAAACGCCGAATCAAAGTAATAAATTATTCCTCTATTGTTTCTACAAAATTCCTTAAATAAAAGATCATTGTCACTTTCCAGGACATTATAAAGGTTCAGTTTTGTGATTTTTGTTATCAATATTTTATAGTAAATGTTGCTAAACTGTTGTAATAAGCAATAAAACTTGTTATATAGTGTACTTAGTTTTTCAAGCAACATTACCTCACCAAAAAATTAATCAAAATGGACAACTAGTTCTAAAAAAATACTTTCTTAAACTCTTAAAATTTAATTTTTATGTAACAAATTAAGGATTAAAATTTTCAACAATATAATTTAATTTGCGAAAAAAACATTATTTCGCGAAAAGTTTTAATTGATAAAAACTTCAAGAGCGTCTGTTAACACAATATAACAAGTTATATAAACACGGTAATAAATTTTAATGAAAAATTTTGTAATATCAACAATGATCCGTTTTAAAACCAAGATTTAAATTTTCTGACAAATGTAGCAAAATATCAATAGAAAATATAGAATATTTGTTTTATAACCTATTTATACCAATGAAAATCAAGTGTGTAATAAAAGGAATAAATGTGAAATGTACCTTTAAGTGGTACAACTTCAAATCAATTATACAAACCATCTTAGAAAAGACAAATAAGTTGATTCTTAAAGAAGCGCAGAAAAATAATAAAATCAAAAGGACATAAGGTTTCTACAGATACGGACTATAAAAATTTGAACAAAATGCACTAAGCATTAGGATAGAAACAGTAGATGCTAAATAGGAATACCAGTTTCAACAAATTATTTTTCTTGAAAATAAAATCTGTTCATAGGAAGGTTTGAAGATATGCATAAAGACATCAAAAAATAATAATAGCCATAACTAACAGACAAGAATTGCATTTTCTACGCAAACACCCAATCAAAGTAATAAATTATTCATGTATTAGGTATATACAAAATATCATAGATTAAAGATCATTATCACTTCTAAGGATACTTTAAAGGTTCAGTTTTGTGGTAATTTTTTATCATTATTTTTGGAATAAATGTAGCAAAACTCTTGTACAACAATAAATAACAAGCTATAAAACTGAATAAATTATAATTTGAAATTGTAATAACATTTTTTAACACTTAATGTATTGGATTATATCCCTATGAATTATAAAAATGTTTTAATAGCAATTATTTTCGAAAAAAAGTCGGGAACTATCAAAAATATGTATATAACAACAGTAAGGAACGCGCAGAATTTTTAATATTCTCATTGTATACTTTTTTTGTATAGAAATTATATAACAAAACATCAGATTCGATTTAAAAATTCTGGTTCCATATCAACAAAAAAGAATTGAAAATTCGGAATGCATTTTCATCACAATAATTGTAGCAGAGTCCCAGTCTTTTAATTATTAGAAAGTATATTATCAAAAAATAAAAACCAGGGGCTCGGTACCCTGTCTAAAAATCACTTGTCCCAGAGTTTGTTGTTACTATATCAACCACAGCGCGGGAAAAATTGAGTAAAAAAATATGATTCATTAAAGTCACAGCTGATCACGTTTCAGGGGGGCGGGGCAAGATTTGGGGGAGGGGGTAAATTTCGGAATGTTCTTTTTCTTTTCTCACAACCCTATCAGGAATTAAATAATAAATATTTATCACGATGTTTTTTTTATAATATCGAATTACAGGGTGATGCAAATTAGTAAATATTATTTTAATTACATTTTCAATATAAGTATAAATGAAAATATTTCATAATTTTCTTGGACTATTTTTGCTCACCCTGTATAAAACCAATATTTTTTACACAAAAGGCACTTATAGTCCAGTCAATTTCGTATTTTTTCATTAAATTTGATTTTTTATTACCCAAAAATAAAATAACAAATTTAATGAAAAAACCGTATTTAAGGATTTTTTTATCAAAAATTAAGTACATCAAAATTATTGTCTTAATTTGAGTAGTCCATTTTAATTTTCTATTCTATTTTATTCTATAACTATGATATAAATCAACAATTAACTGCTTTTGTAAATCGTATATCAAAATGTAAAATCTTCTTCGGCTTATTTACATTATTTTACAAATTTTTAGGATATCATATCCGAAAAAAATTCGTTATAATATCAATCCTATAATTTTTTATTAATTACATAATATGATTGGTTTCTCACTATCCTAAGAATAATATAGTTTAGTCAAAAATATAACTGAAGAATTTAAATCTTCAAAACTTAATAAGTAAGTTAATGTTTGAAACAAAATATAAATATAAAGAAAATTTAAAAACTTAATGGAAGAAAAATAATAGGACAGAAGAAGAGCAAAGACAAAACTGGAGTTTTGTCTAAAAAAAATAACGATTTTTCCTATCTAATTATGATTAATTATATCTAATAATATAAACAAAATTCTTTACAGAAAGATTCTAAATTAAGGAAGAAATAATATATTTCGATTTTTTTTTCTATAAACCTTCAAAATTGACCCATGAGCGACTATATTGAATAATATTCATCGAGGAAAATAATTAAAAGTAATTCACAAAATGTCCCAAAATATTTCGTGATTAGAAAAAGTAGATGTGTAATGGGACGGCAAAAGAGCACCGAATTATTTGAGCAAACCTAGATAATTGAGCAAGTGATATTTCATTTATGAATAAATTTAATATTTTGTACGATTTTTGCATGATTTATCTAATGATCTTTCATCAAATGCCCTAAATTAAGTAACAGAAATTAATTTAGTTACAAAACTTACATTTATTATATTTTTTCCCTCAAAGTAAAAATTAAAATCCCAGGATTTATTTAAAACAATTTTTTGTTATTAGTAGATGGTAAATGTGTAAATGTACAGGTCAATGACCTATAAATTTGTACTGTCATTTATCGCGCCTGTAAGTTAAACAATTTGATTCAATATAATTACAAGCAGATTCAATTATTCCAATCATTAACAAATCATTTAATAAATGAAAATAAAATTCTCAAAATCATTACCACACCAAAATTTATAAGTTAACACAGGCTACCGATTTCAGCTCAAGGGCCATCTTCAGGCCTAAAAGGAAAATAAACAATGGTTCATAGCACAATACATCAAACTTAAGCAATTAACATACCGTAAAATAAAGTTAACTATTATTAACTGCTTAAATTTGATTTATTGTTTAATGAACCAAACCAAAACCCTGACTACCGGTTTAAATTTTAAATTATTTAATAAATTTTTTGTGCTACTAATTTCGTTAATAAAAAATATTATCGCTCATGTTGTCTTGACTTTGATTCAAGTAAATGTTAATTACCCGCATAGCTCACTATAACCAATTTTGAAGGTTCAAACTCGGTCGAATCATTTCACAACCAGAGAGCTGCATTTACATATTGGGATAAAATTGCGGATACACCGGCAAACTAGTAGGAGCAAAAGGTCTTTTAGCAGGAGAAGCTTGATCGTTAAAAGCATCGCCGTAGCTTCTTTTAACAGCCACGTGGGGCGTAACGTTAAAAACCCCAGGAGTCTGCCCTTGCATCAGATGCGGATACAAGACCGGCGGAGGTCTTTGCAAAGCTATAGGCATGCGCGGAGGTAAGTACATGAACGGATGCATAGGCAACATCGACATAGCGTGGTGTTGCGGCTGCGCTTTTAGGACGGAATTAACGGGTGAAGGGGTAGAAGAACCGGTCGGTGATAAAGATCCGGCTACATTCTGACTGAACAGCAAATTTTGCTGCGCTATTTGATTCATTAAAATCATCTCGTTCTGCGCCTGCTGCGCTTGATTCTGGCGCGCCATTAAATTATGCTGCGCTATTATTTGAGCCTGTTGCTGTGCAAACAAGGCCTGGTTGTCCCAAGTAAAGTGGTGAGCGTGATGGTGCTGTGCGGCTGTAACCAAACTCTGGGACAAATTCGTTTGCGCGGCCGTGTGCGGAGGAGGGGGCGGTGGTATATTAGTGGGTGGAAGTGGCGCTATTGGAGGTAACATACCGGGACTTAGTAGAGCCGGAGCTGCTTTGGCGGGCGATACTGGTGCCGGAATGCCTCCTGTCAGTACGAGATTCATGTCTTCGCCGGAACATTGGAATACTTCGATGTAGCGTTGTTTCTTGCCGAAAATCATGTACCGGTGGTGTTTTTGTTGGGCCGTCATGAAAGCCGATTGTTCGGAGTCCATTTGGATGAAGGCTTCACCGCTTGGTTGGCCCTGGAAGAATAAATTTCATCAGCATCGATTGTAGAAAATATACTCTGTTAAACGTTTTCTTACCTGAGCATTGATCACCATATGAACACCTTGCAATACGATATTTTGGGCGTAGTCGCCCAAAAAGTCCAAAATGTGTTCGACTTGAGCCTCGTAAGGTAGTCCTCTTAACCTAATGCAGTCTTTTCTGGTTCCGGAAGTGATAAATTGTTGTGGCAACAAAGGCACCTGTGGTATTTGAGCAATGAGTGGCGCTTGCTGTTCATAGGTCTTTGGATCCATCGATCGATTTAAGACCTGCTCAAAATCCAATAATTTTACTCGTGGCTAGACTTACAAGAAAATTAACATACCTGTTGCACCTCCGCAGTCGTCGATCTAAACAATTCGATATATCGGGAGCCTATACACTCCCTATGCTTGGAGAGAGCCTTTGGTGAGTCGGATTCGTTGGCGAACAGCACGAAGGCATCCCCAGTCGCTCGGCCGTCCGGTTTCCGGACGAATAAAACGCCATCGACGCCATCTAGGACTTGACACGAATTTTCGCCGCTAGCAAAGAAATCCAACTGAAATATTCAAGGAAAAAATATGTATCGAATTACTGTGCATTCGAAAAGATTAAAAAAATCATTATCTTCATTTCTCCTATTAGTCGAGATAACGGAGTATGGACCAGAGACTATAAACACAAAGTAGACTTGTATGCTCATTTATTTTACACCCAATTAGATGTAGGAATATAATTTGCCTATAATGGAGAATCAAAAATTCAAACACATCAACTCGAGGGGTCACTCACTCCCGAAATGCTGGTACATTTTCACTCAAAATCACAGAAATCAATACAAATGTTTTCAAAATTTCCGAAATCATCATCGAAAACCATGGTCGGAATTATCACCGGTATTAATTTGTCGCTTAAAAATGAACATGCAGCAACTTTTTGATCGAAAGACAAGGACATAACCCAGAGAAAAGGTCGTCGTGTAAAATTAAGGGGATTTTCAGCATAAAAAAATGTTTAGGTGATTTCCCCTCACATCAACTTTAAGCTACGTTTTCCTAGCTGCGTCAAACGCAAAACGCCTCCAGTATACGCAGGGCGATTCACGTAGTGTTCGTTGCGTGGACAGTGTTTTCCAACTTGGCACAAATCAGTTGAACGTTAAGTATTAAAAATGGCTAGTAATAATATTAATATCACAAGAAGAGTTCTAGATCTCATCACGATGGAGCTAAGAGAAGAAAAAGAAGTATTTATAATAAGTACTTTAAAAAAACGTAGCCAAAGTAAGTTTTTTAAAACAAGGGAAGTGGAAGACTGCTTTAAGTTACTTATTACTAACCACCAGTTTATCTTCAGTTGCAAAAAATCTTGATTGAGGTTCTTTGTCAGCCATATTCAACTAAAAAACAAATTGCTTCGGCACGACGTTGCGTGATTGACTGCTCTCGAGGCAAAGCCGACGTTTCTTGCAGTGCTGCCAACCTTGAAGTAAGATTTTTCCTTCCACTTACCTTTTTCCACTTTTCCCTCTCGTTCAAGATTGCTACCTTGTTATTTCCTAAATCCCGGACAAAAACAAACAAAAAAGGTCCCTGAAACCCGCATAAGTGGCAAGTACATTTTTTACAATTTGGACTGGGATAAAAAATTCCCGTTTTGAGTTAACTTTTCTCTTTTTCCCTTGTGTAAAAAATTCCCGCAAAACGGGAAATTTCCTTCCGGTTGGCAACACTGGTTTCACGCAAGCGGGCTCCGTTCAATACTGCAGAAAACGCGCTTAAAACATACAAGAGCAGTATTGGCGGTGTTACGTATACTACGCAGCGCGAGATACGCAGATAGGAAAACGTGGCTTTGCTGACCCACAGATTAAGAGAACCTCGGTTAAGTAAGGTTGTAAAATATCTAGGATAACCAAAACAAAGGATACAAAACTAACATTTGTTATAATTTTTAGCGCAAGCTTTAATAAAGCCTTTATACACTGCTGAATCGTTAAGTGACAAAAGTTACATTAAGTTAAAGGGGGCGTAACTAACTAAAATAATGGTTAATTTAAGAGATTAGTTTTAATGGCACATTGAAAATGAGTAGGTATGATCTCATCGCCTTCCACTTTAACCCAGATGGATCTATTTTAGCAATTTAAAGACAGACACAATAATGTGAAAAAAAATATAATTACTCACCACTTGTTTGGCGGTACAGTCGTACGGCAATCCCCGCATTCTGACAATAACAGCTGCGCCTTTCGACAGGAACGCCTGGGCCTCGCAACTGGACCCGCCAGCCACTGACAGGAAATCATTTCCGGTCGCCCTGTATACTTCTATCCACCGGCTGCCGATGTGGTGCTTGTGTCGCTTCAACGCCATGTCTCTATGTTCTTGGCTCACGAATCTCACTAACGCTTCTCCGTTTCTTCGACCTTGCGCTGATAGACACAGAGCTACACCACCCCTGGAAAAGAATGATATTTCAATCTGCATACCATTTAACAAGCAAAACTCTGACATTATTTATAAAATTGATAATGTCTAAGGCAAATACTCATTTTTTTTAGTTGGTGGTATATATTTAAACCATTAATATTTTTGGGTAGATTTTGTACCATCAACATTTTTATGGTACCATCAATATTTGTTTCTGGTACGATTAGGAAAAATATTAAATATTCACAAATTTGGATGATCGTTTATTATAAAATCATTCGTTTTGTTCTTACTATAGTTGAATATCGAAATAATAATAGGTAGTAATTTAATGTGTGAAGATTGCTGTCATATGTCATTTTGCCAAAGTTTGGAGAAACTTTTGGAGGTTGCGGGACAAGGGCTTGTTTTCAGTGACGGGTATATGTTTCAACTGCATACAATATGACATATCTGTCAACATTTTTCACATGTTCTTGCCATTATAACTGACTATTATTTTGGTATTCAACTATAGTGGACCATCAAAGTAACCACTAAGTTATTTTTTCGTCTATTTTTGTTCTGTATTAAAAATTCAGTCGCATTACTCCAAAATCAAGAGGTTTATTCGCTTTTTGGTCAAATATTTACCACATTTTGGCTATGGTAAATATAGGTACCTTAGAGCCCTTTGTTGTTTGAAATGGATATTACTGTTGATATTTCAGTCAAATACAACAGGTCGTTGTGTTTGAACGAAATATCGACGCATTTCGATCAAAGTTGCCTTCTGAGGTACAAAAATATTGAATAAACAGTAATTCAAATAACTGTTAAAATGTGGTACGTATTTCTATCCGACAAAGCCTAGAGCTTTTGATAAAAGGTGCTGTATTTTTGATAAAGTGGACAAAAATAAATAAAAATTAAAAAAATAAACTAAAACAAACAAAAAGAAAAAAATATAAATAAAAATAAACAAAATAAACAAGAATAAACAAAAATCAACAAAAATATACAAAAATAAAAAGAAGCAAACATAAATAAACAAGAATAAACAAGAATAAAAAAATCAACAAAAATAAACAGAAATATAAAAAAAAATAAACAAAAAGAAACAAAAATAAACAAAAATAAACAAAAATAAACAAAAATAAACAAAAATAAACAAAAATAAACAAAAATAAACAAAAATATACAAAAAGGTAGGTAAGTTACTGTTGATAAGACGCTAGCGAGATTTGAATTAAACAAATAATTCAAAATGTCAGTTTGATTTGTTCTACGTTCGTTCCATTTGCGTTTTTCTTCTCGAAAATTTTTATTTTTGTTTGTGATACATGTTTCTGTAATATAATTTTCTCCGAGTGGTACAAATGTCAAACAATGTAAATGGTACAAATATGTACCGTTAAATGTTGAATGTACAAATATGTATCGTAATATGTTGATGGTACAAATATGTACCGCAAAAATATGATTATGGTACAAATATGTACCATCGATTTTCAAAAAGATTAGTGTGATTTTGTAATTTCCGCATATTAAAAGACAATATCAACACAAAAAAGTTAACTGAAGAAACTGTCATAGTTTTAACTGTTAAGAGGAAAAATAAATGAAAATTTGATGAAAAGGTAGAAGATCAGCTGTCGATGTTGATGAAATCCATATTGTCAGCCACATATTATTCTATGAAATATCTTTTCTATTATTGTTGAAAGTGTATAATAACGGTATAAAAATTTTAAATATTCAAATATTTTTATGTTTGCCTTACAGGCTGCTAGTTTTTGATTTATTAAAAAAATCGAATACATAAAATTATACTCTACATACCTAAAAATCCAAACACAAACTACATTATTTCGTATTAAAAAATTAAAGGAAACAAAATTAATTTTTTACTATTGATAATTTTAATTCAAACATTTTACGACTTTCCATAAAACGATATCGAATTTCTCAGAAACAATAGTTTAATAAAAAAAGCAACAATTTTATTTTCTAAAAATAATTGAATAACGCTAAAATAGACAGAGAGAACATATAAATAATGTAGATACATTCAAAAAAAAGTATTTACTAACACCATGAGATTTTTTGTAGTAAATGATTTAAGCGATCCAAATTTCGTACTCAAACCCCTTTTCTTCCATTGGCGTAGACATTTTAAATGTGCCATTATTTCTTCTTTATAAAGACCTTTTAATTGATCGATTAATTTAATCCCACATGTTTTATGACCAATCCCATACATTTTATTACATCAGTAATAATATAATTTAAAAATTTTAGAATATGATTCGATGCATTTTTAGCATGAAAATATTCTTAATAGATTATATAAAAAAAATTGTTTAGAAGTGTTGCATCATTGGCAATGAATGTGTTTAAATTATTTCAACGTTCATAATAATTTTTCGTTATTTCAGTTATTTCACAATCACAATTCCAAGCAATATATTTCTAACAAAAACAGTTAAAAATAACACTTTTCTAATTTTTACACATAAAGTGACATTTTTGTAATCGCAGCAAGTGTCAAAAACCAGTTACACAAAGTTGAACATTATCTAACTAGTTAAGAAAAGTTTATTATGTCACCTTTTTCTTGTATTTTCGTCAAAATCAAATAAGACTGATTTAAATTCGAATTTATTTTGAATTAAGTTTTCTATCAAGTGAGGCAAATTGGTCATGTGACTTTTTCATAATGAATTTCTAAGGATCTTAAGGTATTCCAGGTGGTCTGGGAATTCTTTTCTTTAAAAGCAAAAATTAAATAAGCCCTTCTTTCTCGCCCAATAGCTCCAGTAGTAAAATTCCTTAGTACTATATTGAAATGCGAGCCATTTTGTTATTCAGTCATGCTCTAATCCTCCAAGTCCCTCTATGTCTTATTTGGCCTTTGACTCAACTTGTCCGATTATTATACATAATTAAACCACTTAAGACCAAACATATGTGATCACTAGGCGAAGGCGCTTTCGATTAGTTTTCAGAAAGAGAGAGAGAGATATGCTTTATTGTCGTAAAAAAATTTACAAAAATTTTATAGACAAAGCGTGTAACTTAAATACTAAACATTATAAAAATAACTAAACAGCAAAAAAAACAAACAGAAACAAACAGACAAAATAGGAATAACAATTGCAATGGATATGCAATATCCGTCATTATAATTATTCTAATTTAATTTTTAAATTTAAATTTAAACTTTAATATTTAATTATTTAATTAATGCCATTGTATGTGGAACTCAAATGTCTAAGGTACGTTATAAAATTCTGCTACTGTGTAATATGGTCTTTCTAGAAGAAAAGCTTTAGCCAGTCTTCGGAACTTATCGTATGTATTTATAGATTTTAATTGCATCGGAAGGTTATTATACAATTTTTTGGCATTGTTAGTAATGGAATGTTTTAATAGGTCAGAAGTGGGCATTGTTAAATAAACATCAGTCTCTAAATTTCTTGTAGGATATCTACGAGTCGGTCTTTCGGATAAATTTTGAATGTGCTTGCGAACTAAGCAGACGGATTCGAAAATAAATAGAGCAGGAAGGGTTAGAATTTTGAAATTTTTGAAGTAATTTTCGCAATGTGTCCTACTACTTAAACCAAATACATAGCGGATTGCTCTTTTTTGCAGTTTAAAAATAGATTCGAAAAGGTATAAGCTACCAGAACCCCAGAAAGGTAAACCATAGCGAAGGTGAGATTCGAATAAGGAAAAGTAGGTTATTAATGCAGTAGAAGGAGTCAGCTCTTTAGAAACCGATTTAATGGCAAAACATGCGGAGGATAATTTTTTTGCTAAGGTATCTATATGAGCAGACCATTTTAGAGAATTGTCTATATAAAGACCTAAAAACTTGATTGAAGTCACCGTTTGGATCAGATTATTGTTTAAAGTTATAGGTTGTAAAGTACCTCTGTAAGACAATGCTACAGTTTTACTGGTGTTGAAAAAAAGTCCATTCGAATCAGACCAGGACTTAATAGTCACTAGATCTTCACTTATGATAGATTGTAATGTCTGCATGTTAGAATTATTCCAGGTTACACTGGTGTCATCAGCAAATAAAGTAATTCTACCACTTATTCTTAAGTCTGTGATGTCGTTGATGAATAATAAAAACAAAATTGGACCTAATACTGATCCTTGAGGTACTCCACTGCTTATTGCTAGATTTGTAGAATCCTCACCATTCGCCCGCACCTGTTGATTTCTATTTTCTAGGCAAGTTTTAAACCATTGTAAAGGAGAACCCCGTATGCCATAAATTTGTAACTTATTAATTAAAATATCATGATTTACACAATCGAAGGCCTTTGCGAAGTCACAAAATACTGAAGCGGTGAAAAGTTTATCATTAAGTGATGTGTATATTTCATTAAGAACGGAAAACATTGCGTCGCTAGTGCATTTTTTAGGTAGAAAGCCATACTGATGAGCTGTGAGGATGTTATGCTTGAAAAGAAAGGGCAAAAGACGGTTTTTCATTAGCCGTTCTACTATCTTCGATAAGGTAGGCAATAACGCGATAGGTCTATAGTTACAGGTTTTGGTTTTGTCGCCACCTTTATGAAGTGGGATTATTATAGCTGTTTAAAAATGAGGCTTATTCAGGCAGTAATAGTTCCTATATTGATGTACGCCTCGACGGCGTGGGGATACACCTGTAAAACAAACAGGAAGAAAAACATCAGCCTGAGATGGACCTTAAATGCCTACAGATACACTAGAAATGACGTGATCATGAGGAATCTAGAATTCAAAAGGGTCGTAGACCCAGAGTACAAGAGAGCCTACTACATGAGACACGCCAGACCACGCAGAGTTCTGGAATATGGCGGCGAGTGACCGAACCACGGAAGGTCCAAAAATTCAAGACTCTCATAGATTATTAGATTTCTCTTTCAGCATTCTTTTGCAGCATTCTCTTTCAGAATTCTCTTACAGAATACACTACGTGAATCAGACAAGGACTGAGCAACTGACGAGAATCCACCTGGGGAAGAAGGTCCTCCCAGTCGCCAATGGAGACTGGGAGAGCTTTCACAAGTGGCGAACTCTCACAGAATGAGCACACACAAGACAAACAAACGGACGACTAAACAGGGAAATGCCCTTAGCAAACCCTGTCTAAATGACGATAATATGTAATCCTTCACAGCCCTTAAGAAGGACTGGCATACTAATCAAATGGATTGAACTTGAGGCCCCATGTAGCGAGGACGTCAGGGGGGTAGGTGGGGTCAGGTGGGTTTCGATTCAGTAAAACAGGATGAGAACCTACCCGACTTGGGCTTAAGTAAGGTGTGTGTGACGGATCAGTCAGTCGTATACAAACAGTTGTGAAGATAAATAGTGAACAATTTAAAGACATTCGAAATATATAAATTAGAATAGTATTGTTTAAAAATAAATAAACTGTTGTTTAAAATAAACAAACGTAACAATATAGCAATGCAATTTACAATCGTCTTATCTGTTGTATATTATTTTAAAGCTTTGTATCATAATAATAAACCCTCAAGCATATTATCTAAAAAACGGTAGGTACATAATTACCCAATTTTCTACCATCTCAACGCATTTTATGTAAATAAAAGTACAGTTCAAAACTCTTAATTCTTAACTTTCGGTAATTTAAAGATGTAACTTACTTGGCGACATTTAATCCTCTAAAAAATTTCGCAATATCTTGATCACTGCTTTGCCAGGGTAATCCTCTCGCTCTTACCACACAATTGCTGTCAATTTCATCGTCTTTTGAACTGAAAACAAAGAAAACAGTATTTAGAATGTTTTAATTTTAAAATGGTTTTGGCAGTTACTCGTTTTTTTATTTCTTGCTCATTTAATTTTCAGTCCCAATATATTTTTAGTACGCATAAATACAGCGTAGATGCTCTTCAAAAGATACAAACAAATATAAAATTAGTAAAAAACATACAGGTTGGTTCATTGGAAAACGCACGTTTACTAATAACACACCATCAGGGGCGGTTTCTTCAAAAAGACAAATTACCAAGGACCGGAAAAACTGCAATTTGCATTTTTTGCATTAAGAAATGTTGAAGTTTTTCAAATTTTCCACACATTTGGCATTTTTTTTTAACCAGTTGTTTTTATATCATTTTTGTAAACATTATTGTCTCGAAATACAATATATTATAAAAGATATGTAATGAACTTCATTTTTTATTGTTTATTTATTTGTATAGAGTGTATTTTGTTTTATATTATATAATAAAATAATTATAATTTCCTAATTACTGTTTTATTTTAACAAAATTAGGAAATACCATTCCATATATTTCGTCAAGATATAAGATCGATTTGGCAACAACGTTTAGATTTTAAGGTATTATAAGTACTTATTCTGAATTCGTACCGGAATAACAAGATCTTTTAAAATCTGCAAAAATATACAATGTGTCCCCTTTAAATTAAAAAAGTTGAGGGTATTTCTGGTGAAACCAGGAGAACAAAAAATATGGGATCAGATGCGTTATGCGTCATTGTACTTGCCTGAAAAGTTTCATAAATATCGTCCTTTTCGTTTTAAACATATTTACTTGGTTCCATACTTTATCCCAACCCTGTATACGAAAAAAAAGCAGCAGAGTAAGCAAAGAACAAATTGAGATTTTATTGTTTTTACAGGCAGATATATTGAAATAATTGCTATTTTAATCTTTTATGACAGGGAACATAAGATTAATTATATGTGTATATTCAGACATTGGTACATAATAATTAAATTTTAATATTATTATTTTCATACATGATAATCTCTATTTTTTTGGTACGCCGCTGTGCTCTGACTAGTCTCGTCTCTGTCGGTGTGGTATGCTGATTGAGCACGAGAGATTTCCGCAAATGCCTGTAGTTAAAAGAGAGGTCAACAGATTCGTGAAACAAACAATGTAAGGCGTGGCATACGAACCTTTCCAATTATTATTATAGAATAAACAGGAGATGCTATGACGATATTTAAATACCTACTAAATGTAAAATTATTTAAAAATAAAATAAAACTGAAAAACTTGTTGGGAATTTTTTGTTTTATTGAAAATTATATATTGGTTCATTTGTATTGAGCGAAATTTAAAAAATGGCTAAGCCAGATACAGATACCGACTCTGATAAAGAAAAAAAGAAGGAAAACGTAAAAGATAAAAAAGCGTTCAGCTTCTGGAAGTAATAGCAGCAAGAGCAGTTCTTCAACTTCAAGATCATCCAGTTCTTCTAGTTCTGGATCTAGCTCTAGATCTAGTAGCTCTTCTTCAGATTCGTCCTTCTCAAGCAGTGGTAATGAGAGAACAAGGCCAATAAAATCTACATCAGCTGCTAAACTAACAAGTAAACATAAAGATGTAAAAGAAAAAGGTAAAGAGAAAAAGGAAGTAAAGGAGCGTGAAAGAGAAAAGGATAAAGAAAAAGTGGAGCCCAAAAAGATGAAAAGGATAGAGACAGAGAGAGAGAGAGAAAGAAAAGGACAGGGACAGGAAGGCACAAACTCACATCAAAGATAAGGAGAAAGAAAAGGATAAAAACATGTTCGCACTAGAAGTCCAGGTCTCCAAGAAAACCCCGCCGCCGTTCCCTTACACCTCGCCCAAAAAAATTCATATTGGCCGTCTTACTAGAACAGTCAATAGAGAACATATTTTGAAAATCTTTGGGACTTACTGCACAATAAAGCATGTTGAATGTCCAAAGGACCACGCGCACCCCAATTTGGGGCGCCTGTACTGTTATGTTGAGTATGTAACAGCTGATGAAGCTGAAAATACCATGAAGCACATGGACGGTGGACAGATTGATGGTCAGAAAATAACCGCCGCACCAGTTTTGATCTTACCAAAACCGCGTCCTATGCCTATGAGAAGATCTCCTCCTCCGCCAATGAGAAGACCTCCGATGCATAGAAGGATACCTTTCGGAGAAGATCTTTTATCAGACCTATGAGGAGGTCGTCTCCAACACGCAGGGCACACTCTAGGAGTTCCCCACCTAGACGGAGGAAGCATTCTAGATCCAGTTCAAGTAGCTCTTAAGGGAAATAATTTTAGAGTGTGTGAAAATTTATGAATGTTTGTTTTCATTGGAAGAATTAATTTCAAATGCTTGTAAATTTTTTGTGCTATAGGATGTCATCTATTAAATTTGGTAGATTTGGTTATTACAAAAGGTCGTTTCCCAGTAGACGGTAACTCAATTTAGCCCCGAAGATTGTCAACCTATAAACCTTCTACCATTTATTGAAGAAGTAATTGAAATTATTATCAGGGAAAGGATTGAAGTGCCTTTGTTGCAGAAAATCGTCTGTTATGTTGGACAATCGTAAAAAACACTCGTATGAAACTGCTATTCAATTAGTGTTTTCAAAATAGAGAAAATAAATTATTAATGAATTAATTTTTGTAAATCTAAAACGGGCGTTTGAAACGATAAATCGAAGTTCGTTGATAAGAAAATTAGAAAAATAAAGGGTGCAGCCAGTAGTGTTAGAAATTACTAAATACACTCACCGACTTAAAATTCCATCCATTCAAAATAATGATTTATTTAAAAATGCTCTAACTTTCAAATGCGGAGGCTGATTTATTTGAAGTTTTTAGCAGCTTTTAGATAAAATACTGTAGTTTTAAGATTATTATTCGGACATCTAAAAGTAATTTAGTACTCGCCGCATATACAGGGGAGACGAGAAAACAATTTTTTCCTCTACTTTTGACACACCTTGTAGGTTAATTCTGCTAGTAGATCTGTACACAATTAACTTTATCAAGAAGATTGATTTGTTTCCAACACTTTGTTTTTTATTTACTTAGATATTTTAATTTATTTGTGAAATGTGAAGGTTTAAAGAAAATGCTACATTTTAGAAACGGTCATAATTTAAATGACGGTAGAGAATAAACTGCAAAATAAGTAGAGTGCCGTGGCCAATTCGCAATATGACAACTGTCAAATATACGTTACTTGGCAATTGCAGTTTGATTATCAGCATAACAAATATTCATTATCAGCATAACATCATGGTTTTAACGCCTACTGATGCAGCACGAGCAGTTGCTCTGGTACAAGACGGTATGTCTCAGTATTATGCTTCTAGAAAATTGAGTGTTACAAGGTGTAGCATCAAGAGAGCTGTACAACGTTTCAATGAAACTGGTAGTTTTTCGAGACGAAGAGGATTTGGCAGACGACGCTCTACAAATGTTCGAGATGATTGTTTTGTAACATTAAATGTTTTGCGAGAAAGAAATACTACTACTGCTGTCATGGCTCGAAATAGTTTAGAAGAAGTACGTCAAGTAGCTGTTAACGAAATAACGATTCGAAGGCGATTACGAGAACATGGATTACGCTCCAGAAGACCTGCAACTGGTCCGGAGTTACTTAGGAATCACAAAACAGCACGTCTTCGATTTGCCAGGGAGCAGGATTTTATTTACTGACGAGTCAAGGTTTTGTTTACGTTCTCCTGATGGTCGTGAAAGAATATACCCAAGAAGAGAAGAAAGGTTTGACCAAGCAAATTTTTCCACAAGACTCAGTTATGGAGGAGGATCGGTAATGGTTTGGGGCGGCATAAGCATGGAAGCCCATACTGATTTAGTCATTGTTAGCGGCGGAGCAATGACAGCTAACCGATATATTCGTGATGTGCTAGATCCACATGTAATTCCATTTGCACCGTTTATAGGAAACGAATTCATGTTTATGAATGACAACGCTCGACCACATATTGCGAGGATTGTATCTCAATATTTGGACGAAACAAAAATTCAAAGGATGAACTGACCATCACGTAGCCCAGACCTCAATCCAATTGTCTGGGACATGATGGGCAGACGAGTTCATAACCGAGTTCCTTCTCCAAGTAATTTAGATTTTTTGAGAGATGCTTTGGTCCAAGAATGGGATCAGATTGACCAGATGGAGATTCGACATCTAATAGAGGGTATGCCACGACGCATTGAGGCAGTTATTCGCGCTCGTGGGGGAAATACCCGTTATTAATTTGTAATAATTATTAGTTTATTTGTTATTTGATTTGTTTATAAAATTATGTATTACTCTGCTAAAACTGAATAAAAAAATTAAGAATGTTGTATTTTCTTTAAACCGTCACATTTCACAAACAAATTAAGATATCGGGGTAAAAAAAAAACAAAGTGTTGGAAACAAATCAATCTTTTTGATTAAGTTAATTGTGTGCAGATCTACTAGCAGAATTAACCTACAGGGTGTGTCAAAAGTAGAGGCAAAAATTGTTGTTTTTCCCCCCTGTATAACCGGCGAGTATTAAATTACTTTTAGATTTCCGAATAATAATATTAAAACTACAGTATTTTATCTAAAAGTTGCTAAAAACTTCAAATAAATCAGCCTCCGCATCTGAAAGTTAGAGCATTTTTAAATAAATCATTATTTTGAAAGGATGGAATTTTAAGTCGGTGAGTGTATTTTATATGAGTAACAGATATAAGCAGGCAAGAATAGAAAATGCAAGTAAACTATTAAGTGCTTTTGTGGTACTACAAGGAAGTAGTAGGGGACCACTTTTGTTCATAATCTATGTTAAAGATCTGCAAAGAGTGCTTTACCCGTGGAAATAAAACATTCTCCTTGTCAATTCTTTATTAATGATAGAAAAATTATATATTTTAATAGCTAATATGATAAATAAAGTATTATTTAATTATATATACCTCGAATATTTATATTTACCTTGTTAAAAAATGACCATTTTCACTGTAACGTACTCATCTGATACCTACGTAAAGTACAATAATTTTAAAACGACTTATACGTGAAACCAGACTGGGTTTTAGCATATTAAAGCGAAAAACAATGATAATAAAATGAAAAGTTGAAGTAATTAGTTTAACAGCGGCATATCGGCCTCGTTTTTAAAAACATTTAAAATCATTAACTATATTGTAGGATAAAAAAAAGAGAAAATTAACAAAAATTATTCATTTTCATGATAACGTTAGTGTATATGGTGAGTGATATTAGGAAAACCCGATAACTGTTACGTTTCATCGTTATACAAGGGCAGTAGATATATCAGTATTTTGTCCGTGGGACAGTGTCCAAATATACTTAAAAAAGTAATTCATTGAATATAAATCGATTAAGGCAATCTATTGTCAGGAAACAAAAATGGAAAGACTACCTTAGAAATAAGATATAAAGAACAGATAATAAAAGTCAATAAAAACAGCAAAAAAAGAATCATGGCAAGAGTTTGGTGAAGCAGTTGAAAAAGCTAATAAGGGAAGTACAAAACTGTTTTTTGAAAAACCAAAAACACTAAGAAGCAACTCTATTAAATAGGCCAAAAGGAGAAAAAATAATAGAAGAAGAGAAAGACAAAATGTTGCGATGGAAAGAATATTTTGAAAAAATACTCAATGCAAAAATAATGGATACAGTAAAGCAAATAAAGGAGGAAAATGAGATGCACAGTACAGATAATAATGAGACTGAAAAACAAGACGAAATAACAACAATAAATAGAAGCAATAAAGATGCTAAAAAGTGACAAAGCAGCATTAAACGATGGGATAACAACAGGAATGGTGAAAAACATGGGTGAACATGAGATACATATTTAAAAAAAATATATGTTTAACAGCATATGGAATGAACGAAAAATATCTGAAGACTGGGAAATTGTGATAATATTACTTTGTTAGAAAGAAGGGGACATTAAAGAATTAAAAAAATACAGAGGAATTGCATTACTGAGTACCATGCTAAAGATATATGAAAGAATTCTTGAAAAAAGACTAAAACTGAGAGAGAATATATGTTTACTGTCAAAGATACATTATCTTATGAACAAACACATGAAATATATAAATAAATAAAAAGTTAAAACGAAATTTCGTACAACTTGGCAACCCTGCGGATCAATTTTCATTCCTGCATCAAAGTTGTATCTGGTTCTAGACGCTTGTCTTTATTACGGTTCGTAGACAACACGGTGGCCTCATCACGATTGCTAAGGATGAAGTGACATCACGGAATGAAAATACATTAGTATTTTAAAAAATCTAATATTTTGTTATTTAGTGGCGTTTATATTTTTATTTTTGAACACTTTGTTCTGGTGTTGAGTTTTTATAATATCTGTAGCTTGATTTTTTTGAGAGACAAATTTGGTATACAGCTTTCTTAACAGAAAACTTAATAAATTTACTTCATGTTCTTTAAATAAGAATTTTACTGGCAGTTGTGATAGGTCGTGGAGTAAATGACCCGGTTAAGTGGCCACCACGGTTACCAGATTTAAGTCATATGATAATGGGGTATGTGGCATTTTGAAATAAAAAGTTAATTCTATACCTATTAATATCGTGCACCAGTTGAGAGAAAGGATTGCAAATGTTTTTCTGGGCTTACGCTACAAAAAAATCTGATGTGTCCAACACATGACTTTCCTGTCTATTTATTGCAAGCTTCTTTCGGTTATTTTGTACAACCTATTATATCACCTCTGCAAATGATGAACTAAAGGATGAACTAAAGGTGAACTAAAGGTGAACTAAAGGTGAACTAAAGGTGAACTAAAGGTGAACTAAAGGTGAACTAAAAGATAAACTAAAGGAGAAACTAAAGAATGAACTAAAGGATAAACTAAAGGATGAACTAACTAAAGGATGAACTAAAGGAGGAACTAAAGGATTAAGTAAAGGATGAACTAAAGGATAAACTAAATACATATATTTTCCACACACATTTTTTTCGAAACATTTTTCCATTAGGGTCAATTTTAGAGAAATCATGTACAGAACAAAAATTGTAGAGATTAATATAGCAAACAACTCTTTTCTACTACCGTGCGTAAAGTACTTTACGCCCGTATGCACCGTACACGTTTAATCCAGATCAAGGGTTTAATCGCGTTTATAAGTAGGTCCAAGTTGTGTATTCTTGACAGTTTACTA